AAAAAATGAGGAATTTCAAATAGTTAATTTGATACTAATATCGATATATTTTTGTCAAATTTTTATGCTATCGTCAAACATATATTTTATTCAAAAATAAAAACAAATAAAATGAAATATTAAAAACACGATGTATCTCGCTGCATTGCGCGAGTACTCTTCTAGTTTATTTAAAATGAAAGCTATTTAATATTAAATGATATGTAAAATAAAACAAGCATTTAGTTTTAAAAAAGGTGGAGGAAACAAAGTTGCGGAAGATCCACGTAAAAAGATTGTTTTGTCGGGTACCCAAATGACATTTTTGTCGTCTACTTTAATTTTCTCCTTTTATTTTTTAAATAAATTATTAATTCCACCTTTTATTTTGTTATTTACTTGACACCATTTAATTTTAGAGTTGTAAATAATAATAATATAATATTTATAATACTGTTGGCGTGAGTTATCATTTATATTAACTGGTATTTTTTTTAATATAATATTTTATTTTATTTATTATTTATCCTACTGATTAATTAAATAACTGATAATATGAATTAGAAACTCTTAAATGGTGTTTGGTTTGTTGGAATCCATCTGCTTCACAGCCGCCCCACTGTCGTTGTCATCACAGTTATCACCACCGCTACTACTACTGCCAATGTCACCACCACTATTATACCCAACAAAGTAAATAGACATCCAAATTTTTTTGACATATTTCATTCCAATTTTCTGCCAACTGAATGCATGATCAAACCTGATTATATTGCATTTCAATTCTTTCATATTCAAATTCTTTTGACAGATTCCAATTCCAACATATTTTATTCTGTGAATCAAATGCCACTTTAGATTGAGATGGAACCAGATCCTACAAACTCTTGTTGAAAAACCATAACACGCCTCTCCTTTGCGTTTGACAATCACCCGTTTCAACATAAACAATCATAACAAAAATCAAGTTTATAACAAGGGCAGTGCCTGATTGGTTTGAGCTTGGCTCCAAAGATCAAAAGTACCTGGAGGTCCCAGGTTCAAATTCAAGGAGGAATAAAGATTCCCTTGTGGCCACGGAGGTTCAAATGCGGTGACTTCGAGCTATCTGCAAAGCAGGTGGTTGCCCTAGGATTAGTCGGCTCGCATAGCAGGTTGAATATCCAGGTTAATAAAAAAAAAAGTTGCCCTAAAATCACACGTCTAATTTCTGTCCTACAAATAAAATTAAGACATATCAGATTTTTTTTATACATTTTAAATTTAATTTATTCAAGTTCACATTATCTCCTTGATAACGTGTCTTTATGTGATTGGCGGATATGAATAAGATGTGAAAAATTCAGGACATAAGATTTTTATCCCATAAGAATCGAAATAAGCCGACTTCGAAGGCGAGTCTTGTGAGCTACAAATGGACATGGGCCAGGATTCGGGCTCCCGTATGAACTTGTACAACCCAATGTGAGACTAAAAGAAACTTCAAAACTCATACACAACCCGATAAGATTATCGTGGATTCAAAACATTCGAAACCGTTTACGATGTTTTCAACAATGTAATATATGTTTACAAGCATTATTCCAATAAGGTCAATTTGAAAGCCCACTTGGTATTGTGTGATTACCATGATTTTTCATGATATGATTAAAACATGAAAATTGCAAACTCAGTACCAGGTTAATCGGTTGAAACATTAACCAGTTACCATGTTGATGTGGTGAGTAATGTGGTATCCAATTCAATATCATTAGCTGAAACATTAATCGGATACCACATCACTCGTCACGTCAGCATGGTAACTGGTTAATACTTCAATCGGTTACCCGGGTACTTAAATGTTTAAAACTTTACATCTTAAGTATCAATATGAAAGTTTTGAAAGTACGTTACCCAAAATAAGAATCAAGTTAAAATATGTTACTTTTTCATGCAATTTGTCAATGAAAATATTCCATGTGATCTATTTTTTCTTTAATTGGCTTAATAAACAATGTCTTATCCTTAGTCATTAAACCATATTTGTTTTTTACTTAACCTTTAAGCAATGACTAAATTGAATATGCTGCCCACGTTAAGTCGTCTTTCTTTCAGACATTCATATTTAAAAATAAATATAATACCAATATAAATTGGATAAACGTTAATCGGGTAAGAGTGGAATCTGGGTCAACACTAATAATTGGCCGAGTATGAGTCTCTTCCTCAGCTTACCAAGTCAGCATCTCGGTCGGCATTATAGACCGGTAAGAGGGGCTTAGGGACCATTTACCCAAATGCTTACTCGGTAAGCACTTATTGGTAAGATTTAACACTCTCGTTTGCCTCATCTAGTAAATTTCTAGGCCATCAAAACAGCATCTTTTTGGCAATAATATGCCCGGTAAATGTTAACCGAGTAACAATTGTGACGCTCATTTACCGGGTAAGACTCTCGGTCCTTATCGTCGCTCTTACCGGTAAGATTCTCAATACTTTCCATGTTTACCCGTAAGCTAATTGATCCCCCGTAAACACTTATTGGGTAAGCATTTGAAAAAAGGCCCCTTCGTAATGTATCGTACATAAAGAAGATCAACGAACAGAAATCGATAACTATAACAATCGTCATAAACATTCGTTCATATTTTTACCAGCAACTAAAAGAATCAAGAAATACTTCTATGAGTAACTCCAAATTTTTCCACACCACTGATTTTCACAAGTCAAATGCACACACACCGCACATTTCTTGAAAACCGTTCAACGCTTCTATATATACACATTATATAACGTATAACCGTATAACCGTGTAGACGTGTGAGGGTATTTCGGTAAATTCACAAACTCAAAGAGGAAGTAAGTAGAAGAAGACAGACCTTAGCATTTTTCATCACCCAACCAGCTGCTTTTCTCCTTGGGTCCAGTAGGTCCATCTTCTCCATAGAGTTCATTTGGTAGTTTATTGAATATGTACACAGCTGAACACCGAAGAGTTGCCGGCAATCGGTTCAGGATTCTTGTAATCTCGGCCCTCGAGTCATGTACAGTCGTTGGCCCCCATTTTCTCATGTACTGCAACCAACACGGTTCATTAACCGCACCATCTCCAAGATACTCTGCAGCTACGATCTCATAATCTTGGCTCGAATCCAACGAGTATTTGCTAGGTGCAGCCGTGTTCCTGATTCCAATTCTCAGATTTGCGGACCCCTGAAGAAACTCGCCCGGATGAGGGAAATGTGCGTGCCCGTTTCTTGATGCATAAATGATCGGTTTGTTACCTTCTATGAACTCAAGATCGGGGGCAGCCACCCACACGCCCGCACTGTGCTGCGACAAATACACACTCCATAGCTCTCCTGTAAAGTTGCTGATTCGAAGTGCAACGTGTTCCCAATCACCCACGTGCTGCCCGACTCTGCTAAGAGGGAAATTCATGAGCCCAATCTTCAAGCAGCCCGGCCCGTTAAAAGGACAGAATACCCATATGACAATATCGGTGAAAGTCCCACCTAAAGCGGGTTTTACATGAATGTAAGGTTTAGCGCTTTCTAAATTCCCTCTTTTGAGTTTCTTCTCTGAGGTATCTTTAGGTAAATCTATCCAATATTCGCCATCATTTCTACCACCAGTAGGTAAATTTGAACCTGAAGGATCAATACGCTCGCCTGTGGGCTCGCCTTTCCTGTACAACAAAGCTCCGTTTTCAAAGAACCAAGATACGGAAGATGGCAGGTAGATTTCATCGGGATGGAAATAGAAAGTTGGTCCATAGTGCTTAATGAGGGCATGAATCTGATCAAGATTCGGCATTGACTGCATTTTAGCGTTTAGATTCTTCAAACACGCAATGTTCAAATCATCTCCGGGACTCCAAAGGCAACTGCAGAAAAACGTACCGACTGATACACCTTTCTCGTGCATTCCTCGATGGCAAGGTCTCGTTTTCCAGACTCTAAATAGCGACTCCGCAATTTTCGAATGCGTATTAACTAGTAAACAGTGTGGTTCGCATGATTCTGTAAGATCATCTCGAACACATCTAATTTCTTCCAAACCAGGCTTCGCAGGCTTATTTGTTACAATGAAACCGACAGCTTTATAACCCTCGGGAGCCAGAGGCAACCAGAAGTAACCATGGCCATGAACGTTTTCCTCAGTCCAGTCATCTGGACACCAAACTAATGTGTAATCAATAGGCTTGAGAAGAGCAGGTGACCCAGATTTGGACACTTCCCGAGCCACGAGTACAAACCCGCGCAAAGGTTTCTCATCGAGTTGGCTGTAGTGACCGAGGCAAAAGTATCCATCTGGTATTTCCACTGGTTTAAAGAAGTTGACACCTTTCTTTCTGTTTTTCGCCATATCGGTTCCCCAAATGAATTCAAATTTGCTGATTTCACAAACTTCTAATTCTCCTAAATTAATCATTCCAGTAGCAAATCCATTACCTGCAAATCTTACGAAGTACCCAGATCAACAAAAGTACAACCTTAGATATATTCAACAAAATTTAGTGGATAGTGTAGATATTCTAGTTGTTTATAACTGTTAATCAATAAACAACAGGAATAGGTGATTGAGCTAAGCAGTATCAGAGGTGAACGTGTGTGCGTAAGAAAAGGTAATCAGAATTTACTAAAAGCAATTATCTACATGACAAAAGAAAACGGGAAGTCGGGAAACACAAATGGAAAACTTGCTAAATGATCAACGGAGCACATTACTATCCATGAGACAATATTATAATATTCATATTTATCAAAAAAGAAAAGGTAATGAGTGCATGCATGTGTGCTAAGGCTATGTTGACGAACTAACCGATAACCTAACTTTTGGCTGATGAGCTAGTCGTGTTTGTTAAAACTAGCTGATAAGCTAGATGACAATGTAAAATGACCTAAAGATGGCATGTTTGGAAAATTTAATTGGAAAAATATAAGGGCAATAGTTGTAAAAGGTGGAAAACACCCTCTGGAGTTTGGAGCGTATTGGAACACTATTTCAAGTAGCTTTTGAAAAAGCTAGCTTATAGCTAACCAAATGGGGCTTTTTCAACTAGCTCAAATAATAAGTTGGCTTATGGTTGCCAAGCATGGCCCAAGCTTATCCCCATAGCCAGTGTTGGAATGTTCCATCGAGAAACATCATCTGCCATTAGCTCCTTACAGATAGTCTGAGATGCATAGGTGGAATTAATTCCCATCCGATTTTAGCTAAGGCTCCGCGTATTGTTTTGTGTCATAGATGGCTAGAACAAGAGATGTGACAAAAAAACCTAAAGATTTTACCCGTCCCAAAGAACCGACTTCAGCCCTGAATTAAGGAACCAAAATAATTCAAACGAAAACCCTATAATAAGCTTCTGGTAAGCTTACTAACCCATCTACAACGAAACATTTTCAAAATTTATGCAGCCTAAAGTTTTATAAATACATTATATAGGAATCAAGAAATCATCAAACTGCTCTAAAGCACACTCTAATTATGAGAACAGTTTCCAATCCTGAAGAATATGTATTCAAACTCGAACAGAACTGTAAATCTGTAATGGCCTATCGGCAGCAGCCAGCAGCTATCCCCAAAAGCTATGAACTGATTTCAGCTCCAAGTTAAGCAACAGAACTATTATTTGAGGAAAACCTTCTAACAAGCTTCTGGTAAGCTCGTTAGCCCATAATAACAAGCTTCTGGTAAGCTCAAACTGGTCTTAATCACATCCCATCCGATTATGAGAAAAGTAACGAAAATTTCCAGTTCTAAAAGGAAGAAGAACAAATATAATTAAGAGTATGATTGTAATAAACCTAGAAGAACTCATCCCCAAAAGCTAGCTCAAGGATGAATGATGCTCAAAAGCAATTATTGCTCTCCATATTTACAGGCGAAACTCTTTTCTAAAATCACACTTGTAATATACTATTCTGATCTGCTAATTCCAAAATTAATCGCATTACAAAACCCTAAAGCTCAATTAGATAAACTAATGATCAACGAAAACAATCATCAAGTCACAAAGTACTCATTCATAAGATAGTAACTAGTAAATTGGAAAGTGGAAACCTACATCAGATCAAGGGCAAATCAAACAAACCAAAACATAAGATATAGTTAAAACAAATTCAGGTTTCAATGGCGATGAATCCAAAATACCTGGAGGCCACTGAGGAATCGGAGAAGGGAGGGAGAAAGAATCGATAACTGGAACCGTAACATCGGTGACTCTGTTCCAATACAAGCATCCACAGCTCGACATCTCTCTCTATCTCTCTTCTCCAGCAAACAATTCAGATGTGATGATGATTTGATCTGAAAAAGCTTCGAAACATTATTGAGAATCTGTAATAAGAATATATTTGTTAGATTGAAAAGTGGTTTTGGTTGATGTTGATGATGACGACCACGACGAAAAGCATCACCGCCTGGCATCGGAGTGGTATCAAACTCGATTATATGTAATTTCTTGTTCTAAATATCCAATATTCGATTTGTATTATGAAATTGATTTGGTACGTACGTTACCGACTTATATTATGGTTTAAGATAACAAATTAACTTATCTGGTAAGTATTTACCAGTAAAATTTAACATTATTAATTACTTATCGGGTAAGATTTTAGTCAACCAAAACGGCATTGTATATAACAATTTATCCGATAAGCACTAACATAAGACTTACCGGGTAAAACTTTTGGTATTTGTTTCGCTCTTACCAGGTAAGTTTTTTTATCTTTACTACATTCATTCGGTAAGGTAATGTGATTTGATGTTAACTTATCCGAGTAAGCGTTTGGTAAACGGTCTCTTAGAGGTTGTTTACCCAAACGCTTACCTATAGGAGTCAACGTTGTAGCTTACTTTACCGGGTAAGATTATAGTCCATCAGAACGATATCGTATGTAACAATTTATCTAGTAAGCGTTTACCGGATAAGACTCTTCATTCTTATTGTTCTTACCAGTTAAGATTCTGAGTTTTTGTCATGTTCATCTGATAAGGTAAGTGACGAGGTAAGCATTCACCAAATAAACGTTTAGTAGACAACCCAAATCTTTCTATAAAATCCAAATCTCTTAAAAACATTATGTCAAAGTAAACACCCTCCACTTTGTATTAAACTGTATTTTTATAGGGAAATCAACCAAAAAATGGTCATTTCTCTTGCATGAATTGGTCTCGTAGTTATTTCACTTCATACTTTACCTAAATGTCAGTACATCGGCAAATGGTACCTCGTCATTTGCGAACCTAGATAAAAGATTAAAAAAATATAAATTTTACGCAGGTCCACAAATGACAATTCCGTAATTTTTTGCCCAAGTCCACAAGTTGGGAAGGTACCAATAGAAATTGTATTTCTTTTTCTCTTTTTTTAGTTAGGTCCACAAGTGGAGAAGGTACCACTTAAAAACGTATGGACTGTTTGGCAGTTGCTGAATGATTTGAACTAGAATGGCTAAATTGTCAGAATTGTTAAGAGGCTCTGTATGATGTAGTGCAAACTAAAATATGGTTGTTTGGTAACTGTTTTGAATGGACAGTCTGAATGACAACAAATTATCATTTTAACTCTTTGTAACAATAGAGTATTTAGTGAATATCTGAATTGAACAATTACCAAAACATTATTTGCTTCATCTATAATACCTTATAAATCAGATTTATCAAAAGTCTTAAAAATAATTTTTAATGCACAAAATACTATACATTTATTCACAAAGTCTTAAAAACAACTCATACTATATTAAGTACTACTATTTTATGCACGTAGTCTTAAAATCTTTTAATCTACAATTAAAATAATATACAGTGCAAGTTACCAATACACATTATTACTTTTTCCTTTCATGTTCCCAATATACTTTTGACACATTTCACTCTTGTATTCACCCTCTCATATCTCTATGTCTTCTCCCATCCCCAAGGTGAGATTCAAACGGATATTCACCATGAGTTATTAAAAGTTCTCACATTCATCTCCTATTCAATTGCTCTAGAACTCTCAGTCTCGCTCTCGATCTCTTGATTCTTTGCTCTTTATGTAAATCGAACACATTTGTGGTGTTGTTTAAATATGTTGGATTTTAAATATATTGGATTTTAAACTGTCATACAATTTTTTTTTCATTGATAGACTGTAATTTGAACCATAACTCTTATTTATTCAAATTGTATTAATATGTAAAGACCAAGTGTAACTTATATCATCGTTAAAATCTTCTCTAATAAAACCAGTGAAACTTCAAAATCGTTAAAATTCACGGCTCCCGTTGTATTACACGGATACACAACTAGTTCCATATGAAGTAGACATCTTTAAAACATTTCACATCCTCTACTGCATTTCATATGATGGAGCATTTTTAAAGTACTTTCACATTATTCAAACGAATGCTTTTCCAATGATTTATCCCAACATCCACTGCTGCATTCCATATGATTTATCCCAATGTTGCCATTAATCAAAACAGAATATATATATATATATATATATATATATATATATATGACATCTTAATGTCATCATTAAAAAGTAAACAAACAATGCTATAATAACATTTGAACAAATCAAAAAGAAAAATAGTTTGAAAACTAATTCGTAAGAATTTCAACGAGTTTGCTTTCATTATATCTTTATAAAAAAAATGTTAAACTCAAGGGTGGTGCTTGATTGGTTTGAGCTTGACTCCAAATATCAAAAGTATCTGGAGCTTGGACGTCCCATATTTAAATCCAAGGAAGAATAAAAATTCCTTTGTGGCCATAGAGGTTCAAATGCAGTGATTCCAGGCTATCTGCAAAACAGGTGGTTGTTCTAAGATTAGTCGGCTCGAATAGCTGGTCGGATATCCGGATTAATAAAAAAATGTTAAATAGTTCAAAACAACACCGAAAAAAAAGTTGGAAATAAAAAGACAACGCCACGTGTACGGCGTTAAGAAGGACAGGTATGTGTGGGGCCCATGAGATTACTTAATTCAATTACGTGTGTGACCGGACCAGCAACTCATGGACGGTGCCTTTCATTTGCCAACCGCCGTAGTCCTTTGAATTCCATCAATTTTGGGTTCTATTTTAGCTTTTATATTTTAATTTGATTTATATTTTGGATAATATATTTTTAAGATTTTTATTTTTTACATAAAATATAAAATTTTAAACATTTAAATACTCGGATAATTGGTTAAAATATTAACCGATTATCATGCTGATGTAGTGTTCAACTTAATATTATTTGCCGAATCATTACAACTTACAAAAACACTCTTAAAAGATGAACATTTAATTCGGCTTTTGAATTATCATAATTGATAAAAAAAAAATTAAAATCTAATCAAAATCTTGCAACGAATTCAACATGATAGTCGTGGGGGTTTTCTTTTATTAACCATCGGTGTCTAGGCCAGCTTATATATACTGCGAATGATCTCATAAGTTCTAAAGAAACAACTAAGAAAATCCCTTATAGCTTTGCAGGACTTGAACTAGTGACATCTGAAGAAAATCCCCAAAAACCCACGTTTTATTACCAGTTGTGGGGTTTTCGAGCCTGGTATCATTGAAATTTCATGGTAAACGTGTTTCGTTTGCAATCGTGATGATGAGTCTCGTCTAGCATGCTTCCATGAGATATCATTTCTTGTTTATATGTTTTTCGACCATACAAATATACTTCCACCAACCAAAAAGATTTTTTCAGGACTTTTCGATTCGGATACTTCCCCAAAATATCTTGTACCATACAAAAAGAAATCACATGTGAATTGTGGTTGTACTCATGACTATGACCCATCTATTGTTGTTATTTATAGTTTTATGTAATAACCATCATACTGCATTCCTCTAGAAAAAAGGATTTCCAATTTTAACCCTGTTATCGTCTTTCAAAAAAATACTGAGCACTGTATTTCTTTTAAAATATGAAAGATTTCATCTGACAAACGTTTCAGTCCTATCGATCTTTATTCGAATTTCTTGGCTATAAAGGTGTTGTTTCTCCCCTCAAAAGAAAGGTATGGTTCTTTTCTTCCTATTTGTATGTCAAGATTCAATTTCTTGTCTTTTTTAAAGTATATGATATTTATAAATGCAAATGCAACAAGTAAACTCACACACCCTCCTTATTTTTGGTGAGGTTTGAACCCCCGACTTCTTAAGAGGCCAAATGCTACGATACCACTAGGTGGAAGACCCTTTAGTTTCAATTACTTGTTGTGGAGTTTATGATTGAATCTTGTTTGTTTGGAGTTGTAGCAAAAACATACCCATATATGGCTTGTGTAAACATCTCTTTCCCAAAAGCATACTCCCAAAGATTACTATAACGTCTGTCTCTTAATATTTCTTCAATGATATCCAACTCGTTATATGGGCCGATTAATTCGAGGACAACCACCTGCTTTATGCGTAGCCTGGAGTCACCGCATTTGAACCTCCGTGGCCACAAGGGGTTTTTATTTTTTATTGGATTTGAACCTGAGACCTCCAGATACTTTTAACCATTGGAACTCAAACTCAAACCAATCAAACACTATCATTGTGGTTTTCTAAACATAAGTTGTATTATGTACAAGGGGACAAAGGAGTATGTGTCACGTGTCGTAGACGTTCGTAAGATATTCCCCAAAAGGGTTCCCAAAATTTATCATAAAAGAACCCTTTTTTTATTGTCCACAGAAATCCCAATCTCCATAAAGAAAACAGATACAAGTGGGAAAAGAAAGATCAAAGAAAACCAAAGCAACAGGAAATGATGCTCAGAAGCTCATCAACACCAATTCTTGGTTCCTTGCTACCATCAATCTCATCGGAAAGCCCCAACCACCACCACCACCACCACCATGACACCACCCTCAAACCCTCACCAATCCACAAATTCTCACCTGGATCTCAACATTTCACCACCCTTTCCTGCACTTCCTCTCCTATCTCTCCTTCCGTCGGCCATGGCAGAATCCGGCGAGCGCAATCCGAGGGGAACTTGGAACACTTGATAAGCTCTGGTGGCGGCAATGGCGGCAGCGGTGGTGGTGATCAATTCAGTTACTGTAACCCAAACAAGAAAACTTCAAGCAGACTTCACAGCTATCCATTGGAGACAATCCCATCTTTCTCTTACCAGAATTCAAATTTTAAATCCGACGATGATGAATCCGGTGACGACGGGTTTGGCGATTTTAACGTAGAGAACACGGTTCGGGGATTGAATAAGCAACTGGGATTTGGGAATTTGGTGATAAAAGATGAGATAGAAGAGAGTGGTTCACAAATGTATCTTGCAAAAGGGATAGGGGTTGATGCAGGCTTTGGATGTGCAGATGGCGATGTTGTAGGCGGCGGCGGCGGTGGTGGTCGGAATCTTTCATCGGTAGGTCGTGGCGGCGACAGTGGTGGTGACAACCATGACGTGGAGGAGCATTACAGGAAGATGGTGAATGAGAATCCTGGAGATCCTCTATTGCTAAGGAATTATGCACAGTTTCTATACCAGGTATAAACTGAATAAGTCACTTTTTATATCATTAAGTCACTACCAAACAATCATGTATAAATTAATCGTATAAGTTGTGTCTTGTTAAGCTCGTTAAGTTGCAGATAAACATACCCTAAAGTATGTTATACCTTTCACAAATCTTGCGTCTTTCAAACATCTCGCACCCAATGACATCACTCCCTCTCGTCACCCAATCATCGTCCAATTATACCAATTTTGTCCGGTCATTTGGCAGTCAAAGCAAGATCTTCAAGGAGCAGAGGAATACTACTCGAGGGCGATTCTGGTAGATCCGAACGATGGTGAAATCCTTTCACAATACGCGAAACTACTATGGGAGGTTCATCACGATAAAGACCGTGCAACGAGCTACTTCAAAAGAGCGGTTCACGTAGCTTCTGAAGACAGGTAATTAGTGTTTCTATGGTGCTTTCCGTACTACCGCTACAACATAATCGAGTTTACAGGACGCCAAAAGTGTTTAAGTGTCTTAATATACTGCTTTATATAGCTAAACCTTTGTGTGTCATGTCACCATTCTGTCATGTTCACCAAACGCACCCAAAAAGCTTTTTAAGACGCACAAAAACGTTATATACACTTATTACAACACCTTTAGATAAGACACATAAATGATTGGTCATATAAAAGTCTTATGAAAGTAGTCTATTAACACATGCAGACATTAAACCCGATTTTGTTGCAGTATACTGAACTGAAAGGATTAAATCTAACTCATAGAGGTTTCTGCAGCCATGTTCATGCAGCATATGCTAGTTTCCTATGGGAAATCGAAGGGGAGGAAGACGACGACGATGAAGACGAAGAGGGGTATTTTAGTAATATCCCACCACTATTCAGCAATGGAACAATGGCTTCTGCAACTGCTTAATTAAAAAGATCGCAGTGATAATATCAAAGCATCTGGGCAGCATTGTGCCAGAATTTAGGGTTAGTAATAATACATGTAGAGCAATGGCAAATTGTATCTTAATCTTATTTAATTAGTCAAATAAAAATCAAAATATGCAGAAAATTGGCAACAAAATTTACAAATTAAATGTTGGGCATGTTTGTCCGCAGTTTAATGAGGTTCACAACTTATTGAGTGGGTTATACATGATCGTTTGATAGTGACTTAATGATATAAAAAGTGACTTATTCAGTAACCTTTTTAGGAGGAGATTTATGTAGAAAGATTAGATTTTTTTTTCTAGACTTGTACCTTCCAATTAAAAAAACACGTTTCTTCCATCTAGTGGCGGATCCAAGATTTTTCCCGAGTGAGTGCACCTTTACGATGGATCAACAGCCCGCAAAAAATTCATTCGATGTGTTTTTTAGCCAAATTCTACGGTTTCAGCGTACCTTTTAAGTTTTTTGGTTGATTTCGAGGGACTTTTTTTTTTTACCTTTTTAGTTGATTTCAAGAGACATTTTTTGGTTTTTTACTTGATTTCGAAGAACTTTTTCGGTTTTTTGGTTGACTTCAAGAGATTTTCTAATATTCCAGTGCATCCTTCAAAGTTTAGCAGGTGCACATTTCATACCCCAAACAAAATCTATTTAGAAAAATAAGTTGTGCGGATGCACAGATCCGCTCAGGGCTTAATAGTCCGCCCTTGCTTCCATTTACGAAAAACCTCTCCCAAACAAAAACCTTCGGACAACTTTATCCATCGAGGACGTAATGAAAAAATCAACCAAACAGCTTTATTCATACAAAATTTGGTGTCTTCTTCCTCTTAGATTTTCTTAGCGAGCAAAACATTTTTGTAAGTATATAATATTTATATACGACTAATAAACTCACACACCATAACATTTGTTGTTATGACGTATGGTTGGACTCCCATCACCGCCAAATTTGGTGATTTTGTCGTGTGATTGGAGTTGGTCTTATGCGAGTTTGATCATGTAAGGATGAAGTTGAATTCGACCATAAAGTTTGTATTATACGCACTATATATTACTTGAGAAACGGTAATAGAAGATGGATGTGCACTAGCCATCATCGATCAAACAATCAGCCAAGCTTAATTAGATATCACAAACCCCTCAAAGCCACGAGTAATACGTACTAGGGTTTTCGTTATGTAGGAAAAGGATTTCACAAATTGAATGGAGAAACAACTTTTAAAAGACGAATTCTTCCTCTTTTCATATGGAAAGTGACCGAAAAGAAAACTTTTCATATGGAAAGTGACCGAAAAGAAAAGAGAAGAAGGGTACAGAAGGAGATTGCACAATGTGGTGGAGGGCAGTCGGAAGCCGGGGCGGACCTATATAGGCTAATACAGTGGCATAGGTCTCCACTTCATGGTTCTATCATGTAAGCTGAGGAAATTATATTTCGAAAGGGTGTCACCGTATTATTTTGTTGAATGCCATCATATAGTTTTTGAAACTGAAGCTTGAACACAAGTCTTTAATCATAGAGTTGGTAAATGTCCTGCTTTTGTATGAAAACCATGGGTTCGAGTTCCACCTTTGTCATATTTTTAATAAAGAAATTTTTAAAAAATGTAAATCATGATTAATTTTAGAGTGAATTGTGCTTTTGGTCCCCGTAGTTTGCCTAAGGACCTTGAGTGTTACGAAATTAAAAAGTTAGAGACCATCAGTTTAGATAGTTTATTTTAGGGACCAAATCCATAACTTGAGCAAACCACAAGGACCACCAATGTAATTTACTCTAAATTTAAATATCATCTAAACTTGTGCTTGTATAGGCTCTAGTAGACTGCCGATTTAAGGTCGGCTCTCATTTGGAGTTAGAGATGGCCAAAATGAGCCTGGCCTGGCCGGAACCGGCTTAGGATCCCGGTAAGGACCGGTTATGGACCAATGGTCCAGGACCCGTTACTTTTCTTTATAAAAATTCAAAGCCCAATTGGGACTGGGACTGGGACTTGGAATGCTTACAATGGGATCGGTTACAAGAGGAAAATCTAGATTGGGACCATTTTGGGTCCGGGTCGACCAGGGATTGATTTTTGGCCATCTCTATTTGGAGTTGCTATGTCAGAGACATCAAGCTTAGATGGGTTTGGGCTAACCAAGCTTTTCATGAGCCACTACCAGCTTGAGTCAGAAACACCCCTAGGTGGATGTAAATTATCAAGAAAGACGATAGAATAGACCGTCTATTTAACAAATTATTGGCATCTATTCAACTACACTATTGCCAATGGCCCTCTAAATAAAACAAGTTGCAGCATGGCATAGGTCCATATGTTACAGACACGGAAAAAACGACCCAAAAATGCCATAAATTCAACCTTAAATAAGACTCATGGGCTCACGGTCAATAGTAGGTGCCATAATATGCAGGGGCGACCGCAGCAGGCTGCTGTGCAGGCGTCATTGTTGAAACTTGCTGTGGGACGGCCTGCTGTAAACATGAAAAACATGTAAGAAATTTTAGGTTCCGTTTGGTTTGCAAGATTGGATTGGATTTGAAATTAGATTTCATTCTAATCCCATATTTGGTTTGATGAATTTCCTGTATGTGAAATCCCGGGACTTCATTGAAATCCCACGAATATAGAATTTTGAAATCCCACATGGGTGGTTGGTATATCATGGGATTTCGTAGGATTTGTATGTAATAATATTTTAAAATATGTTAAAAACATTTGTTTTGTAATAATCAATTAATAAAAAGGTAATTTAATTATTATAATTTGTTTTTACAATTATTTATAAAGAATGGAATTTAATTTCATTACAAATCCTACAAACCAAACACACCAAAGATCTAAATCCTTCCAATTCCAAATTCTTCCATTAAATCGAAACCCCTCATAACCTTTCCATCAAACGAAACGCCCCGTTAGTATTTTTGGGTGTTGCTATTACTCATTTGACCTATAACACTGATGACTGATGAGTCCTAATCATTTGCAAGTCTCAATTCATACAAATCAATCTCAACCGTCCACCTAGTCAATGAATACCTGATTCCATAAATATGTCGATTGTTTACTAATCTAAAACGTTGACCATAATGAATGAACTCTGACCATCTTCCATAAATATCCAAATCATAGTAAATGAATCTTCATTATTTCCAAAAATATCTCAATTAATTGGCCTGTATGGTTTGAATGAATTAAGTGGTTTGCAAATGACTGGGACTCTAATACTCATTGAAAGATATATGGTATTGATGTCCGTCTACAAAATGCCTCAATTTTGTCTGTCTAAAGGCATTTTAAATATTTGACTAATGATCGAACTATTTCATTAGATTGTGTGCCTGATCAAACGTTGCATTTATTCTAGGGCAGAGAAAGTGCGAAAGAGAAACATGACTAGTTACTTAAAATACCTGGACCGGGTAAGAAGCAGGAAAAGAAGTGTAAGCAGCGGCTTGTGGGACAGATGCCGGGGCTTGCGGTTGGGCGTAGCCACTTCCATAAGCATTGTATGTGCCATAAGCAGCCTAACAATAAAACAGAAGTTGAAAGCATAAATACCCAATCTCAGTTGACATCAGAACTTAAACTATGACTAACACAATACGTGAATGTACATTTATCTCGTCTTTTAATAGCAGTTTCCAGCCAAATAAAACAAGACACTATAATATGGAAGCATCAGCTTGTATGATAGCCTCATATCTATATATATATATATATATATATATATATATAGAGAGAGAGAGAGAGAGAGAGAACCTCTGTATGTGTGATGTTCAGGGGAACCCCCAAAAAAATGAAAAACTGAGGAACATCCTAATAAATGTTCATTTGTACGGTATGCACATGTGCATACAAATAATTGAAGATGTTTCCTGGTTTCTGTGCAGATGTGCATGCCGGACAAATTACTTACAAATGACTTGTATGCACACACATGTGCATACCGTGCAAATGAATGGTTATCAGAGTGTTCCTCGGTTTTCAATTTTTTGCGGTGTTCCTTTGAACCTAACCCTATATAAGTGTGTGTGTGTGTATATATATTATAATGTGGGAGATTCAAATAAGAAAGCTAAATATTGTGAGAAGGTAAGGGAAGGTTAAAGGAAGGTTCAATGTGAATCATTGAAAAAGATCAATTTGGAGATGCATATGTGAATCCATATGAACAATTTGTAACGTCGGTTCATATATGCATCTTCATATAGATTTTTTCGGATTTTTTCATTGCTTCACATATGAACCTTCCCTTCTTATCTTCTCACGATATTTATCCTTCTTTTTTAAACCAGCCCCTATATATATAGGGGGACCTTTTGAGAACCCATGAAATTGTAATAACCTTTGAGAATTTGTGCATCATGTGCTATTTCATATGATCTTTTTTTATCTAAGACTAGGATTTAGAATATTGATTAACATATATTTGTTTCACAATGTGATTGTTTCACATGTACTCGGTTCATAATGTGAAACTTTTTCATTTGTTTGTGACACGTAAAAAAGTTTCACCTTGTGAACCGAATACATATGAAAGAAATATATGTTAATCAATACGTAATATTGTACTTAGATGGAAAAAGATCATGTGAAACAAAACCTTAAGGTAGAAGTTCACACGAATCTCACAAACTTTGGAGTTCTCAAATGATTAATCCCCTATATATATATACAGCATTCTGTTCCGGGAATAGTAATGTAACATGATGCTCCCACTTCCAATCACCATTGCACCACCCTAAAATTCTAAACCATTATGAAAGAAATATTGAAGACCGTTGGTCCAAAAGGGAACTTCTGTTTATGAAATTATAGCATACACAGCTACTAGTGCTCTAAACTTATTAACATACCGACATATAACAGATGTAAAAGAACCAACCCACATAAAAGCAAAAGAAATAAAATCAAACTATCAACACTGATTTTGCAAAGCTGAAATTCAGATGATGGGACAAAGTCTGGTGGTTGTTGCTTCCAGCATGAACAAAATCTTCAACCATGTAAGAACCAGATTACAAGCAAAGAAATAAATTCAAGCAACAGTAACAGCCGGTTTGTTAGCAGATTAATGAGCTTTATGGGACACACAGCTTATTCAGTCAGCTATACTTGACTGTTTGGTAGTGACTTAATGATATAGAAAGTGGCTTCTTCAATAAGCTTCTAGGGGGGAGCTCTATCCATACAAGACTTAATGGAAAACCAACCAAAAGTCTACTGAACTATAATACCTGTTGGGTGTATCCTGAGGGCCATTGTTGTCCTTGAGCTTGCGTAGCTTGTGGCCAAGATTGAGGCTGCACACCATAACCTGCCGGCCACTGGTTCTGTGTGGCCTGATAGGTGCCTGTGACTGATGAAGCAGATGAAACCACACCTTTTGCAAGCTTGGCTCTATCAGAGACTAAATAACCCTCCAGTTGCCGCTTCTTGGACTCTGAAGAACTCTTGTGAGGTAAGAAAAGCTTGGCATGCCGAACATCAGCCTTCTTGATGGACTTTGCATCCCCAAAAAGATCTAGAAACTGCAACATGAAATGTTAGAAACTCATCGTACACACTTCTCAATAGTTATTTGATGAAACCCCACAATAGTCACCTCCAAGAAAATATTAGATAGCTCTTCTCTCTCAACACGACTTGCAGCATTTGAATTATCAGGTCCAGGGGATATGAACTTTTCCACCAGTGAGTCTAAATGATCAGTTCGCTTTGGTAGCGATTGAATTGATTCTATATGAATTAAAGCCTGCAGCATCATAAGACAAGTGAGCAAACAGCAAGCCAAAAAATCGGGGTAAAAAATGTGTTTGCGAGAAGACAGAAAAAGAGAGACCTCTAAAAGTGGTTTTGAGAGTTGGTTATTCTCAAGTGCTTGATCTAGAACCTCCCTTGCTTTCTCTACCTTTCCCAAAACCTGCCAACCAGTTTATATATCAAAATAAACCATAAGGTTATTCAAATATATACTATCACCAACTCAAAAAGACACCCAGAAAAGCAGAAACAAATAAAAAGGACAAGTATGGTTTAGTGATACAGCTAACAGACTGCCATGATACTTGATAAAAGGGACATTTTATGATACAAAATCCTCACAAAAATGAGCTAATCCGTAATCTGAATCATAAGACATGCAGACCCACACCAGGCTTCACATCATCAACCAGAACTCGTAGATATCTAAACAAAGTTAACCCTCTTAAAGGGAGGCATGAAAACTTGTTCTTCGCTTTTGAAATGTCCAAGAAACAACCCCAGTCTGTGATAAAGGACAACATGATTGGCAAACAAAATAAAGTGCAAATATGCACATATCCTACAAGCTACTTCAGATTTGACTAGCGGCAAAAAATAATCAAGTTCTCAAGTCTGAGAATAATGATATAACTATATAAGCAAGTGAGAAACTTCCAAGATCAAAAATTTTGATCTAGCACATGGCACGCTAGTGGCAATAATACATGTTTTTAACATACCAAGTACAGAAATCGAGAATACTGTGCGAACAAAAGGGGCAATGTCTGTGAGTGCTCTTTTCCTTTCTCGATTGCAATAGTCTGCTCATACAAAGAACAAGCATCTTCCAGATTTCCCTAAAAATTCAAATAAACACCCACTGAGACATGAAGTATGAAATAAATGTCAGCATTGAAATGCTTGACTAAGTGATTTTACCAGCCGATATTCCATGTTAGCATGCTTGATAATTGCTTCTAGAAGACCCGGAGAAATTTCAGTGTGGACGAGTTGATAAGATGATCGAGCTCCTGCAATGTCTCCACTGTGCTCTTTAAATCGAGCAGCAAAAAGGTGAATCTCCGGATGCCTCTGTAAATATTGGCAACCATTCGAGTAAAGAAAATTTTCAGAACACCAGAGGGTGCCAACAGAATTTGGAATGGTTAACTTATTAGACAATAAATTACTAGTTGTCATGGCATCGCCTTGTTGTCTTGGCGATAACCAACTGGCACTGCGTCCCTTTGCCTTGATGTGGGATTAATGGTGGTCAACTTGTAATTCCTGGCAATGCCATGTCTGATCTAGGTCAAAAAGGCAGTTTCCTGACTCGCTCGTAAGCCCAAATTTACTCCAATATAAATGTAAAATGGAGAAACAAAAAACACTCCGAATCCAACTTGAACTCCTAATCGATTGATGCGGAGGAGTGGATAACTAATAAGTGGAGACGGATTAGAAGATGAGTGTGTACCAAAGACAAACAAGAAAATTCAAAAGTTGCATTGTGACGATGGAATTTCATCTTCTCTCATCTCATCAGGCAAGTTATATGACTCCCCTTCTTCATTGTGATTTTTTTTGTCGGTGTGTTATCTTCTACTTTCTACCTTTTTCCTTTTTTTAATTTAGGGAAGTAATATAAGTATATGCAATTTTCTATCACATTTTGTTTACTTTCTTTAACAATTTTGAAATTGCCAAAATCTAAGGCAATGTACAAATTTATATGCACAATGTGTGGGTCATCGTGTTCTAACTTGTATGTGGGCATGTTTTAGTGGTATTTAATATCAAACAAAGGAACTCCATTTCAGTCATGCAGTGATATCTCCATGAAGAAAAGATGTCGTAGATCCTATAGAAATCAGACCACAAAGTTTTTTTGGTTGGGGGGGGGTGGTCAAGGATTTTTACACAAATCCTGAGGAAGGAATAATATCTGACATAAAGATAGTGGTGCTAGCCCCCAGGGCGTAGCACAGTTGCTTTCGGGGTTGTATACTCGCACAAACAAGCAAGGATTCGAGTCTGGCAACCACACATGGGAGTTGCAAATTCTTTGGGGGGTTGTGGCACTCGGCTCTTAAGCCAGCCATCTATCGGGCCATTGTGTACTTGGTTTGCCTCTCACATGGTGCTTTTGGGGCGGGGTGGTGTGGGTTGGCTCGGGGGTTGCCGGTTACAAACCCTTTTGCACAAACATAGTGGGTGCTCTATTATTAGGCAGTTACACAGCTTTATTGGCGCCATGCACTAATGAACAACAGCCAAAGGACGATTCCCAAAGATTGAAATCCCGATGAAGCAGCAAAAGCTAGAACAATGACTTCGCGATAGAAGTTTTATCATAGCAATGCATAAATCATTAGATTCTAAACCAGCAACAAAGGGGTTAGATGATGGTAGGATGACCTCAATGATTTGACATAAGAAAATAGTAATGTCATCACTGCTGAGAGCGACATAAGAAAACAGTAATGCCAAAACTGCTGAAAGCTAACATACAGATCAAGGTAAGAAGTGGCATACTTTGACAAACACCTGGGTAGCACGGGCAAGTGCATTTTCAGCAAGTTCCACATTTCTACTGGCTTCCATGCACAAAATGTAGCGTATCCAGTACTCAGGATAATTTGCACAAGCAATTAGACATCTTTCATATAGCTTGACAACCTGGTTCACATGATTACTATCACATATCTGAAACTCACAATAATTCCATGTAGATGAAAAAGTTGCAAACGGAAAGGATCAAGAAGAAACACAAAAAAAGAGATACTCTGATGGCGGAACAGGAGGCCCCTCATATATGGAGGAGGGACCCTCCTTGCCTCACAGACAGATGATTAAGTAAGAACACACCTGCATACATAACATTGCAACTTTTAACAAGTATTTTACCATACAATGTATTATGAACCCAGAATGTCACTCAACAAATGAGGGTTTGAAGTACACCTCATAGGAACAAAATAGGAGACCCATGCTTTAATCCAAGTTCAATATCCCGTTTAAAAAGATGCTTCATCCATTGGTTTAGCCGATAAATCATATGAAGAGATAGATATTACATAACTGTATGTCAATGTATAATAGGAGCGACTAAATGGCAAACAATAAATAAAAAACAAACGTGTAATGAGTGAACACTAGATTACCTTATTAAAGTCATCACATCCTTCAATGAAATCAATGTAGTTATGCCAGTTTTCAAGCTCTGCAACATTAAGTGGCCGAAAATGATAGTAGGGCCTCCTGATGGCTGTTTCAAAATCTATGATCTTAGCATCAAAATCTTTGGCTGCCTTATATAGCTCTTCTCTAATGGCAATATAGTTCTCCAAATCTTCAGCTTCTGTTAAGCTTGCACTTGGAGGTTTAATAGATTGCTCCACTGTATTTGGATTAACCTCTCCTTCACTTTCTTGATTCCTTGATTCCTCCTTTGCTTTGGCTGCAGTAGCAACTTCCTCAGTGGTTCTCAATTCAGATAAAGGACGACTAGCAACTAATTCCCTGAAGCTGTGAACAATAAAATGTATGATGAAGACACATGCACAGGAAAGTAAGTAAACAGAATACAATATTAGTACTGAAGATATTAACCAAGGATGTCCAAAGCAGAAACAGTCAACACATAAATACGGATCAGCAAACCATAGGGAATATAAGGATCAAGTACCCAATTTTTAACCCTTCTATCTTCAACAGAAGTCGAAGTTAGAATACGGGCATGACAACACACCATACACTCGCAATGTAACAAGGAAAAGAACAGATCTGGTCATATAAACGTCAGACATTAGATAAGGTTGGCATAAGGAGTTGTCGAACTAATAGCTTGCGGTAACAAGGGATATGTAGTCGAGGAGCAACAATAACGGAATCCTACAACACATTTATATTAACAAAATCCACACATACCATGCCCCACAAGTCCCAAAAAAGAATACAGTGCCAAATCTCCCCATTCCAGGAACATCCAAGATTTGAACCAAATCAATCACTCAAAAAGCAAGTAATCCACAAGCATAATAACACATATGCATGGCAGAAAGCAAATTTATGGGGTTCCAATAGTTATGTTCTTCTCAGTGATTTTAGATGAGCTTTATAATGATCTAAATCATAAAATACTACATGCAAGATAATCACAATGTAGTGAGGTGGTTATCTGAAGATTTGCAGATGGATCGCTGCGTATTTTGGTTGCACACCAGAGACTTATCCGAGTTATAGTACTTTGCTTGTATCTAAGTAATGCTTGTCGGGGTGCTAGATAAGTGGTTTGGAGGCTATTCCAAAATGGTTAGTTTGTATAATGCACTCCACCTTGACCTTGGGGACTGTCCCGATGGTCGAGTCGTCGAGGGGACACGCTTGTTGGTGGGAGTCCCACCTTAGGTTGTAACATTGTTTTTTGATTAATAAATTTTGTCGGATGTACCTACCTCCTTACAAAAAGACTTCGACCAAACAGGTTCATCACATTTTATATCCAGAGACGTGTTATTAAGATTCAAGTTACTTGTCGCATGGTCGAGTATATAACACTATAACAGCAGCAAACTTCAACTTTCCAGGATAAAAGTGCTATGAAATACAAAATTAATGCTCCAAAAGACCGTTCCTTCTAAAGCATGTCTCTAAGAACTTATTGTCAATTTAATATATGAGATGATGAGACCACAATCATCCTCATGACTTACTATACAATCAATAGGCATCTCTTTCTGTTACACTTTGTACACAAAGAATTGCATGATGAAACATGTCAAGTATGAATCCATGATGTAATTGGTAATACCGCACTACTACTTATACATAAAAAAAATTGTACCATCAAACATATACATTACAGAGACGCACCAAATACAATCTAACATACACATACTAAGGGGCCGTTTACCAAACACTTACTGGGTAAGTGCCTACTGGGTCAATTACCTTACTGGGTGAGCACATGAAGGACTGAGAATCTTACCTGGTAAGAGGAAAGGTAAAAGGATTGAGAGTCTTACCCGGTAAGTGAGGGTGGAGGCGCTTACCGGGTGATAAACACTTATCATCAATCCATTTTGATGGCCAAGAATGTTACCCGATAAGGTAAGTGAGGGTGGTGACTTGTGCTGGTAAGCGCTTATCAGGTAAGCATTTGGTAAACGGCCCCTAAGAACACCCGACCAAAGAAGCATATGGTCTACCTAAACTAAGCAAGCCTTCAAGCATTGTGTTGAAAACATATATATCACCTGTTAAAATATCGATCCAACTGCTGATTAGGATGCTCCAATATCCGTGTGTAGATCATGGCAAGATTCGACCACTGCTGCTGGTGATACTCATATTCAATGTACTTATCCCACAAAGGAAAAGAGAGGTAATCAGTTCCAACATAAGCTAAACCCCGTTCAAATAGCCTGAAAAAACATTATCAAAAAGAATATATCGTCATATTATTCATACATAATGGACTGCAGTATAGCTATTGTGTCCCTGTATGCAAAATAGCTTCAGCAGCGTCGAAGGAGAAATAATCCATTAAATGAGCATGACACTTTCCAAATTTACATACAAAACACTGAATTTACCTTCCCCCCAACAAAAATCATTTAATGCCTGAGAAAGGTGGCAGTGACAGAGGCCATCTTAGTCCTTAACTGGACGAAATCTTCTCAGCAGCAATTTGGTTAATGGTGCACGTCAACGAGTCATGGTTTAAAACAGCAAAAACTCATGGAGAACTACATGGGCTACAACACAGCCCTTAAGATATAAGGCCATAAGAACAGAATTCAAACCCTAAAGAAATTCAGACAGCTAAATATAACATTTGAAAGAAAATCAAGGATTTGCACATCCGGAAAAGACAACTTTCCAAATGCTTTCCCTACAAACCTTTCGCCAATACAGGAGCAGTTGCTGCTGAAGACATACTGAAATAACGTTAGCACAAAATAAAGTAAAAATCATAGAAACCACATCAGAATGAAAAGTCATGCATCCTTATCTCACAGACAACTGCAATTGAAGTTGATCAACATGCAGGCATTACCTCCTTATGGTGTCAGGATCTCCATAGGTATTTATGGCAAAAACACAGTAGTGCAGCCACATATCTACAGAATATGTTACTCCTTGAACTGCACGTTCATAGACCTCCACAACTTTATCAACAGACCCCAAACGAGCTTCATGATCAGCATACTTCTTCCAATAACCATAACACAGAGGAAACTCAGCTAAAAAGGCATCATAAACTTTACGGATTTTCAAAATGTTGTCCTGTGGAAGTACGAAATAAAATTAGCTTCCATGGTATAAGATTAGTTATAGTAAACAAGAGAACGAGAAAATAATAGTGGAACAAATTTTACAACATTATCTTAAAATAACCAACCAGCCCTATTCAAAACGGAAGGCCAAAACAAAATAAAGGAACTACAAAGGAGCTACAACAATGAACTACATAGCAAGCAGAGAAGCCTAAAATAACTTAAGCTAGAGCAAACCATGTGCTCTCTAGAACAGCTCCTTGATCCACATTAAGCAACAAATAAAGGAAAGAAGCTACAAATAGAAAATGAACGTTTCGGGACTAAGTCACTGAAGCTGTTGGATTTAAATATGTAAATATTGGTGCAAAAGTCGGCATGGTAAGCAAGAGCCAAGAAGGTTTAGTTGCTAAATATTTGCTTGAAATATAATATTTAACTTGAATGAAAATTCATGTATCGCCAAATACTTGTAAGAGTTGCACTTGTTAGGCCTAACAAAACACAGTGTATAAAGTACAGCTGTGCATCCATACAGGTAACTTGAAAATAGTATATCCAACTTCTGTATGATACCTTCCAGCTTCTTCCAAACAACTAGTAAGATGTTAGCACCCAAAGCTAACAAGTGAAATAGATTATTTCAATATACTTATTATTAAAAAAACAAACTGTTGCCTACCTCTGATGTTTTCTCCGTCTCCTCTATTAGTGCAGTCCAAGCATTGAAATCCAGTGTATTAGCTCTTACCATGTTCCATAATCGGTCTTCTTCAGGAGATAATGCTGCATGATTGTCATTAAAATGAAGTCAGAAGGAATCAACAATTATTTTCCTCAAAAGTCAGATCTGAAGTTAAAATAACAGAATCTAAAAGCGACGAAGATATACCAGAACCATCCACCAATTGCTGTGCAGATGCAGAAGTATGAACACTGTATGAACTAATAACCCCATTCTCAGCACCAACTGCTGGCAAAGATTTCGCATCACTAACATCAATTCCATGCACAGAAGAATCATAAGTGGCAACATGAGATGAATCCATGGATGTGTCCATAACACTTGGAAGATTCTCCCTAACATCTTGTGCAGTAGTTAGTGGAACCTGTTGACCAACATCTGTAACCTCAGATTTACCAGCAGTGTCTGGGTCATTATCATGAGAAGTGGCATGATCTACATCCATGTTACCAGTACCAACGAAAGCAGTTATATCTCCACTATCTGTAGTTTCAGCACCTGTGCTGGAATCAAGAGCAGCATTTCCACTCCTATCATGATAATCAGATGCAGAATAAGGAGCAGATGAATACTGATCTACAGCCGATGTTTGAGAAACAACTGCTTCACCATCTCCCATTGTAAAGAGAAGATAGATTAATCCGAAACCTGTACAGCAAATGATAGTGAATAAAGGATCAATGTAGGCTGTGATGCAATGTTACAGCAGTTTGACATTTAAGAAATCCAATAAACCATGCAATGGTTACATAAATAAAATCTGAGTGATCTTAGAACTGGCAGTGCAAGTAAAAACTTAAGTACTAACTTCTGTTTGGGTGGCGTTAGCATGTAATTTGGGCAGCAGTATGCTAGCTGCATATTTAAATAACAACAAGAAAGAGGGATACCAAAAGTAAGTTTCTGGCATAGTATCTTGATTTAGAAAATACTACCAAAATCTACTTCTTTAATTATACGTGATCAGTCAGTGCATAATCTGTTCTGTATGCGAGGGCCAACATGCATTGATCTGTGCCTACCTTCTATTTCACCTCAAATCACATTAGTCAATCACACCAAGGGCTAATTTTTATAAATGATTGAATGGTCTAAACAATTTAAAAGCTCCGTCCAGAAATGGAAATAAAGAAGAAAAAATGACTATTTGATAAGTGTCTACATTATATAAATTTATCATTTTCATCTGAAATATTTTTAACAAGAACACTATTTGTTACTTGTAAAATCCTCAAATTCACTCTGAAATTGTTGACCGGGTCAAGTGTTAAACTTGCTAGGATTTGGACAACCAAAGGTTTCTCCACTTATATGAATAGGTTGACAAGAAAGAGATGGTTCAGGTTTTATATTTGTTTATTACCTCCAAATGACATTGCAGTTTATATTTGTTTAATACTGCCTAACATGGTTGTTGTAATTGTTGGGGATGTAGTTAAGGAGATGGTTTAGTTTTGGTGTGTTGAGGTCTGATAATTGAATATCATTCGACGTTATACAACCTCTTGCAGTTGTCAATTCAGTCTTGACCATTTACACAATGAATTACTTTTTAGTTAAAACATCACCTCTAACCATAAGAGTCCATATACAGTCAAACCCACTAAGACGCAAACAAAACTATCAAACTTATAGTAATACCAAAGTCTTTTTGTACGTAAATTTCATGATCAGATAAAGTGATTCTACAGTTTAAAAATCAAATCATATAATGAAAAATCTACGTAAATGTGAATAGGCAAACAATTCCTGGGCATCCTCAATTACTTTTCCGAGTTGTTGCATTGATTATTAATATTAAGAAAAGCACCTAAAATATCACCATACTAATAAATATGCTCAAGACCATTTGTTTTATACAATAAAACAAAAAATAATTATCTTCTACAAGTACCATAAATTTTGAAATTTTATTGGTCATGGTTGTATATCCGAGGAAGCAAATGACCTACCAAACTTTAAATTACATAATACTTGCCAAATACTTTTACATGTAGAAAAGCATTTATAATTCAACTTATCAAAGGAATGTGATCTTGCTTTGTGGAAGATGGCACATGAAGGGTACAGTATTGTTGCATATCAGGATAGCATAGCTATATCTGCTATTTGACTATATGGAATGAACGTATTGGGTAAATTATTCTAGGTCTTCCAGTTCATATGCACAATTCATAACGATGCATAATATAAAAGTAAAAGAAGGCTTCTTTTGACTCGTTTTATTACCTGCTAAAAGCTACGGATAAATCATCTAGGTCTTACAATTTTAGGAGATGCACATTTCATAAAATTCAAGCATTTTACCATATATATATATATATATATATCACACAGTGGCAGACCTAGGACTTTTGCCGAGCAGGAGCACCTTTAAGGTAGATCAAATCCCGCAGAATCGCCCGATGTGTTTTTAAACGAATTTCTCCATTTCGAATGATTTTTAGAGTTTTTTTGGTTGATTCAAGAGACTTTTTTGGTTTTTTGGTTGATATTCCTTATATTTTCTAATATTCTGGAGCACCCCTCTGAGTTTCATGGATGCACCTTCCATACCTCAAAACAAATCCTACTTGCGAAAATAAGTTGAGTGGGTGCATGGGAGCCCGCTCGGACGTACCTAAGAACCCGGATTTTTCGAATCCCCATACTGATTGTAGCTTCAATGGTATCCTTGAATTGACGCAAGGCTATGGGGCATACAGCATTAAGATACAGGAAGAGTAATTTTGTCTCCAAATGATGATACGAACGTTCATAAACTGTAAATCTGGAAACTAACGATAAAGATATGAATTCAACTTATGTTTATGTGTGAAAGGTAGAAAGGAGGCAGCAAAACAAGACAAAAGGCAACAAACTTATTTTCCTCCTGTTTGCTTAACCTATGAACTATGATTTCATTCTTATATTGGTTTCTTTAATTATATAAATAGACATATACAAAATTTACTTTGTATCCTTATTATCATAGAATCGCCCAATTTCTATATCCATGTCAGACTAACAATATTAGAGGGCAGACTCCAAATTCACACCACATTTCTCCAAGAACTATTCCCATGACGATAGACAGCTTCATAGGTTCCTACTTAAAATTCGAATTGCAATACCCCCTTGGGTCGTCACCCAGCCAAAATTTCCATCATTTCATTCCTCTCAGAGTCCTCATTCTCAATTCAACCTTCTTGTCATCAAATTAACTCAATATAACTGTTGTCTTTAAGTGATCAATTCCATGCCCAAAATCAAGCTCCAAAATTCGAATGGATCACACAACTGCAGAGCTCACTGCTGTTTCATTCGTGTCAAATTAAAGTTTCTCTACTACCATAAAGTAAACAACTACACAAAAACTCGCCTACCATATGCATCAGAGATCCCAAACATAAAATTTTCGATTATGATAGAAGAAAAAAAACATGTATGCTTGAAACCCCAAAATTTCATCGTAAAGGTAAAGAGAATGCATATCACTCACAGTAGTAGTGAACAGAGACAGATGGAGACCGGAAATTAAGGTAAAGTGAAACAGCGATGAGGTAGGGCAAACACCGGCGGCCGGTGGTTGGTGACGACGGTGAATCGTAAACGGAGGGAGGTGGGTAATTGGATAGGCGAGAGTGAGAACGCAGAGTAGCTACCGAGTGAATGTCGGGTCAAATAATCAAATGTTCATATTTGTGAGAAAAGGGTCTCATGGGTCGGGTCAAAATGGAACGGTTTTTATTTGAGTTTTCTTTTTGGAATTTAGTAAAAGAAAATTTAAGGTGTTGTTTGGTTTTTTTTTTTTTAAATTATCCTAACTTTTATGTCTGATTTATTAAGAGATAGGATCATTTAAATTGTCTTTTTTTTTTTTTTTAAAGTACTTATATCTTATTATCATCTTATCTAGTAAGAGGTAAACCAACATCTTATTTGTCTCTTATTTTTCTCGAAACCTTTAGCAACGACGTTTCTCAATCGATTAACCTTAGATCATTTCTCTCAATTGATCATTACCAAATCGATCCTCACATCTTTCAATTGGTGTATTTTAATAGGATTTAAATGTGTTAAATATCGTTAATGGCATATTTTCGTTTAAATGAATTATAATTATATAATTTAAATATAAACTTCGTAATGATGACGAATAAATATGTAACATTGTATAAATTTATCTATAAATTCAACATTATAGTTTTCTAATCGGTAAAATAGACAGTTTAAATAAATTCATACAGTAATCAATTTAACAAAACAAATAGTCTTATTGATTCAGATTTCAGATATTAGCATAGTGATGGCTAAATCGGCCCGGCTGGCCCGGGACCGCCAGAGGACCGAAACCGGGACAAGCAAAGAACCGGCCTGTCTGGGACCGGTAAGGACAGTTTATGGGACCGAAAACCGAGACCAGATGAGGTTTTTGGCAGTTTCGTGGGACCGGTTATGGACCGGCCCGAAAATTCAAAAAAATTAAAAATAAATGTATTTTTAAATAATTTTATAATGTGTTTTTTTAAGACAATGTAATTTTATTTATAATAAAACGTATTTTTAGAGTGTATTTGAGTGACTCAATTACAAATTTTATAATGTATTAAAAAAGGCCCATAACCGGTTATGAAAAACCTTGACCGGTCTTACCATTTTCGATCAGGACCGGTCATGAGAAAGTTTGAGACCGATTAGGACCGGCCCAAGACCGGTTTTTAGCCATCACTATTCAGCATCACCTCTTATTAATTAAAAGTGAAATAAAACTTCGATACCTCTTAAAAAACAAACGTTACCTGATTTTTTATGTTTAATCAGATAAAAATATTTTTCTGTCTCATTTTTCTCCACTAATCATATATATATATATATATATATATATATATATATATATGTATGTATTTGAGATCATTATCTAAATTAAATAAATTTAAAATATAAAGTTTGAGACCAAGCTACAAATTTGGTTTTTTGTGGTTTGTTAAAAATAACAGGTTTTGTCTCTTCAGTGTTACAATTTTAAAATTACAAAATAGTTATCATGGTTTACAAATTTAAGTTTTGTCCCCTCCCCCTCTAGCGTTCGTTAAGTGAGAAGTATTTTCGTATTTTTATCGATTTTTTGCCATTTACCCAATCAAAAACCACATTGACCAAAATCATAAAATCGATTTTGATTGGTTAAAAGACAAAAAATCAATAAAATGACGGAAAATGACCTTCATTTAACATAAAATTTTAACAGCTATTAAAGAGAGAAACCAAATCCATACGTTTTACAAATCGTGATGGTCATCTTGTAACTTCAGAACTAGATGGACGGAAAAGTGTTATTTTCAACAAACCACATGGACCAAATTTGTAGTTCAGTCGAAATCCCATTTGTATTAATCAAATGATGGGATATGATTGAGAAATGATGATATATGATATTTTTGTCCTAAGAAAGATGTTCATCTGTCACCTGCTAGTGAATGAATCGACACGAGACACAATGAGTTATCCATTATAACTACATGAAAAGACAAGTAAAACAAATGAATTTAACTTGAAACAAAATGAAGCTACTCTCGATAGCCAACACTATTTGAATTAGGGGGTGCTTATGAATTGGGTTGATCGGGTTGAAGACATTTGTAGAACCCAACTCAATGTTTGCGGTTTGAAAAAATCTTGACCCAACCCAAACCGTACGAGTTGGTCGATTGATACTTTAGTACGTTAAAGTATTATTCTAACCTTAAATATGTTATTTCTATACTCATAATAACAACTATTTGATACAACTTATCCATATTTTTTACGTATATCACATTCAGTTAATTTTCTCAATTTACATATATATGTTCACAATTAATGAACATATGTAAAAATGAGTTATATAGAGACGTGAATAGATTGAAATATGTGTATATGAACAGCATACGTGGTAGTGTAATTGTCTAGTGTATATCCTAATAGAAATTCAACAATCATATTAAAATCCAATAAATAAAAGAATATCGAGTTGGGTTGGATTCAAACAATAGTAACTCAATATCAAACAAATACATACGGTTTGAAAATTTTACAATTCAATTAGACATCGGGTTGAGTTATTTCGCGTTGAGTTGGGTTGAATCGATCGGGTTAGTCAGGTTTTTGAGCACTCCTAATGTGAATTATCATAATATATTCATATAGAGCAGTTGCAGTATGTTTTTTTATTATAAAACTGTCTACTACCTAAGCGCTTTGCTTCACTTCATTTTTATAGAATTATGTGTTAGACCAAAAGTTAAAAACTAAAATAGTATATCTTTAAATGTTTGTGTTGTTACTGTGTTGTATTACAACAACCGTAACTTCAGACGACCAACCCTCTATCCTCAACTTCTATGTTTTAAAACACGTTTGAAAAAAGATGTTAGGTTAAATTATTATATACTGTTAAGATATCATGACTGCAATAATGGAACACAGTATAACTGTTGTTTCTTGTAAGTTTTTTTTTTATAAAGTGCTTGTGGATTATTTTTATAAAATATACATGGGTTATGGTTTATGAACAATTTGAGGGGTTATTTGTTTACCTTTTAATAGTTCTATTAAGAGGTTACATCTGAATCGTTAAGAGGTGAACCTTGTTTGACCAAAAAAAAAAAGTCTACCTCTTAATGGTTCTAAAACTCTCTAAATGATTTTTATATCATGGGTCTCCTTTAACCATTGAGCGTCTTAATTTCATTGTAAACAATTATCATACAATTATATTTCATTTTGCACTATATCATAAATATACTCTTAATTATTTGACCATTTAATCATTTTGCAGCAAACCATTTAGCAAATGTCAAACAACCCATGAGTGTAGTTGATCAACAATGAAGTCTTCAAACTCGAGCTTGGCTTTTGCAACCCCGGTTTGAGGTAAATCAACATAATTACTTTGAGTTCGTTCGAGATCACCTTAAATGCTATAACCTTTATGAAAGCTTAATGACATAAGCATGCCTTCATTTTTTGTGGTGGAAGCATGCATTATTTTCTTTCTTTATCCTTTTTATTATTATGCCCGATGAAAGTGGACTTTTTTTATATCGAGCAAGATTACAAAGATCGAACTATGAGTCTAGATATGACTCATGAAAAGAAAGAAACAAATCTACACTTGTATATCTTAATGCATATAAACGCCATAATCATGGACCATCAATGTTAGTTGTCGTTTTCAATCATTTATCGGAAAAACAATTATGTCGTGATACGTACATTAGGGCATGTTCGAATGAGAAACGTTGATATGCCGAGAACCTAGAAGTTAACAATATAGTGTATCTATACTATATGATAAAGCATTTGGCTAAAACTCTTAAAAACTCTTAAAACTCTTAAAAACTCTTAAAACTCTTAAATCCGTTCATCTCTATCCGATTTCATCCCATATCTGAATTCGTGTAACTAACTGCAGATAAA